AAGGAATGAATACCAGAAGTATAACCTACTAGGTTCAACGCAAGGTTGGTGGCAATAGGGCTCTCTCAAAAAGAAGGAATTGATTATAATAAGGTGTTCTCACCGGTCGTGAAGCACAAGACAATTCCGGTTCTTTTGGCCATGGTAAGTGCATTTGATATGGATCTTGAACAACTTGATGTGAAAACTACATTTCTTCTTGGAAATTTAGAAGAGAAGATTTATATGTCCCAGCCAGAAAGGTTCATTGATGCTAAGAAGGACCATGTATGTTTGCTGAAGGAATCCAAGTATGGTTTGATTAATTTCTAAGTCCATAACTATAATTGGTGAGACTTGACCCGACCCGACCCAGCCTGGTCCATTTGGGTTGCATGACATCATGCATTTGGATAGAATATAATGAGAGAAATAACACTTAAGGTTTGTTAATATATTATAAGTTCTAATATATTAATAAGTTTATTTAATTAGTATTGATCAAGAATTAATTTGTAATTAATTAAGTGATCAAAAGGAGACTAATTAAATATATGGGTTGATTGAGTAAATCATTCATTCTTATATATGTGGGCTTGTGATCCAAGATTCCTTATGTTGGACTAAGTCCATGGGGTGAACCATGGATAGTCCATGGAGGTTAAAATCCATGGAGCATAAGGAATAGGTAAAGTTATGAGTTACATGGTGTAACCCTAATAGCCACTATATAAAAGAATCCCATGGCTCAAGAAATCGGCCACTATGTGTGAGAATGAAGGGCAAGCCGATTTTCATGAAGTGTTCCATTTTTCTCTCAAGTCATTCCATGTGTATTTGGTGTTGTGTGAACCATTTGAGGTGTCACACTTGGGGCACTAGGCACTTAAGCTTCATGAAGATAATCTACATCAAAAGGTATGTAATTCTAACTTGATATATTCATTTGATTCAATGTTATTATGCTAGTTAGGATGAATACCTTGGAAAGTTCATATTTGCATGTATAATAGAGAAAACATAGATCCAAGGTATTTAGGGTTGCATGTACACTTAGGAGTGTTAGAATGCTCAAAACCCAACAGTGGTATCAGAGACTAGGCTTGTTTTCTTGTTATACTTGCAAAATTATCTGAAAAATCAAAGTTTTGAGTTGTCTGCACAGCAGACTCGCCAAGTCCATCAAGGGACTAGACGAGTCCAAGGCAAAAAGCATCCAACTCACCGAGTTGGTTCATGCACTCGACGAGTTGGACCCCCTGACAGCATATATTCGATTGTTTTGGCCAGAAACAGACTAGGAACATTACCATAATCTATTTTTGGACTTATAAACTTGTTTTTGATGTGGTAATGTTCATGCTAATCCAATTTCAAAGATAATTGTCAATAGATTCATGTTTCATATTAGACTGAGTTTTAGACTAATTACATGAAAAAGTTTGATTTGAATTATCTTGTTCTTATGAGTTGCTTAGATTAATAGAAAAGTTAATTGATTATGTGTTTTCAATCGATTTTAAACTAAGTGTTGATTCTAAAATGTGTTTTTGTAACTTGTCCTCAAGTTATATGAAAAGTCACATTTAAGTTTCATAAAACTCATAAAAGTTGGCAATGGTTACAAAAATGAAGAGTCTTGTCCTCAAGTTATGGAGGTTCAAGAGTCACTTCATTAAGTATCAAAATATGTAACCATAATTAATTCCATAAGTTACAAAATAAAGAAAAGTTACATTATTATATTAGTTTAAAGTCTTCCATAACTTGTCCTCAAGTTATGGAATTTGAAGAGTCTTTTAAATAAAACTACTTTAAACACATAAGTTATGGAACTAATTAGTTTTGAATAGTTTCAAAACTTGCCCTAAAGTTTTGGAATTTGAAAAGTTTTCACTTATGAATACTTTAATTCCAAGTTAGCCCTTAGAATTTTAAAAGTGAAAATTCAACCCTTATACTTTATAATATTATAAGTTAATAATATATATATATATATATATATATATATATATATATATATATATATATATATAAGAGCAAGTCAGTCTTACCGTTAGTAGGCCTCATTCACGAAGCCGGTCTATAATATAAGGTTACTGCCTATAAAATGGCAGTTTAATGGGTGACCACTCTCACCCACCGCTTCCTTGACTGGTGTGACAACTATCAATTTCTGGTCAAGTCAAAGTCAAATAAAGTCAACAAGTCAAACCGGTCAACTTAACTAACCCTTGTGTACTAGGGCTTATGTTAGGAAAATACTATACAACTCGGTATTCTAATGAGAAGTTATAAATTGAAAAGTACGTACATCTAGAATTCCTTAACCTAAAATTGTGGTAAGTAACGAACCAAACCAATAAAACAATGTTGCATACTAATCGGAAGTGTGTAAGATCCTTAAACATGGCTTAACGGGGTTTACGGACTTTGCATTGCGAAGCCGGACACTCACAAATGTCACACACAAAACCTCTCTCAATCATTTTCACTCTATCTCTCTCTATTTTGGAATCTCTCCCAAATCTCTCTTTGTATGAGAAATCTCTCCAAGAATGTGAAATCACTCACAAATCTCTATAAGTATGTTAAATCTCTCCCAAATCTCTCTTTGTATGAGAAATCTCTCCAAGAATGTGAAATCTCTCCCAAATTTCTCTAAGTATGTAAAATCTCTCCCAAATCTCTCTTTGTATGAGAAATCTCTTCCAAATCTCTCTAAGTATGTGAAATCTCTCCCAAATCTCTCTTTGTATGTGAAATCTCTCCAAGAATGTGAAATCTCTCCCAAATCTCTGTACGTATGTGAAATCTCTCCCAAATCTCTAAGTATGTGAAATCTCTCCCATATCTCTCTTTGTATGACAAATCTCTCCAAGAATGTGAAATCTCTCCCAAATCTCTCTCAAAAGTTCCTTAAACTTTTTATAGTCTTTCGGGCCATCCCGACCCTTAACAAGGTCAAACACGGCTTAAAACACGGTAAAAACGAGTAAAATAGGCTAAAGGACCCGAAACCCCTCTTAAGGAGCCGAACCTTCTTAAGGAGCCGAACCCCTCTTAGGAACCGAACTTGTCAGAAGCGAAGGTGTCAGAAGCGAAGGTATCAGAAGCGAAATGCATCATCTCGGACCGAACCCTATAGGAACCGAACCCGAAGGTCCAGTTCGGACCCGAAGCTCGTACGACCGAAGATCCCTTTCGGACTGAACTACCTCCTTTCGCTTGTTCAAATCCGGGTTCGCTTCCGTGCTGTTTTCGGACCCGAAGGCCTAGTTCGCTTCTCCCCTTGGACTGAAGGCGAGGTTCGGGTCTCACCCACTAAGGACCGAACCTTCGGTCTGACTTCGGAAATTAGCATTTTCTTCCCGAATTTTGATCCAAACTTCGTTTTAATCCCGTTTTTTGAGATTTTAACGTAGGGTTTTCACCCAAACTCATATTTTAACATAGTAAACCCCAAATATTCATATTTTAATTATATTTTGAAGAAAATCCTTGCCTAAGAATAAAATCTAGTTGGTAAGATATTTAGGTGGAGTGTTGACTTTTATTTAGTTTATGACACAAGCAACCACTCCCATACCCACTCCATATCACTATTCACCATCAGCCCATACCTAGTCATTTCATGTTAATTTTCCCACCATTTTTCAGCCACACACTTGGTCAAGGGTTAGAAAATCCTCCTCTCTCCTCACACTTCATTCATTCTCTCATTTCCACCAAGAGATCAAACACTTTTCTCTTAAACTTTTTCTCTCTATTTCGAGACTCGAAGGCTGATCATCAAGCTTTATTATACTCTTGGTAACTATAATTCATCCTCCTTGTGATTATTACACTTCATTCTACTCCAATCATTGATTGCTTACACAAACTCCATCACTTTGATGTTAGATTCTCGAAAATCTTCGAGGCATCTTCAAGTATCACTACAAGAAAAAGAGCCTTTAACGACGCGCAAACCACGACACTCGGTGATTTATGTTACGCAAAAGGGAGTGATATTAAAAAAGTGTCAGCTCTTCAAAAAATTTAAGGATTTATGTCACGCATTATTGCGTGCCCTTAGATTAGTGTCTCATGTAAAAAAAATAAAAACACGGAGGGCACTTTATCTAAAATGTGCGCTCTCTGTGAATGTCGCTTTATGTTTTACTCAAAACGCGCGTTCTTGAAAGGGGGAAATGAAATCCCCAAAAATTAAAACCCACCTATTCCATGTGAAAAATTAAAACCCGCTCCTCTTCGTCTTCCTCTCTCTCTCTCTCTCTATCTCTCTCTCTCTCTCTAACCTAAAAAGCCGACCTGCGATTTCATAGAGATTGTTATTTAGATTTAAGAAGAAAAGAAGAAGACAAGCAAGGATAATACTACTAAATTCCACAAAATCGCAGGGACTAGGGCTTTTTTTCAAGAACGGAAACACTTGGTGCTCTCTGGCCTCTGCAACAATCGATCGATGATCTCGCCTCACCTCGTCGGCAACATCTTTGCTCACTTCTCCTTCAACGACCTTAGGGGTATTTTCCTCCGGCGACCTCGGGCTCATGTGACCTCGTCAGAGACTGCTCAAATTTCCACACCCTAGCCCGACTAAGATATGCTATGTTTATTCTCTCTTCCTAATGTTTTTGTTCTTCTATTTCTTTAATCTCTCCTCTATTCATAGCTTTGATTTCGATTTTGGATCTTCTCATCTTCTCCTGTGAAAACCCTAACTCAAAAACTATGCAGGTTTCAATGGCGATTTCCTTATCATTCCACAGTCCTCACTTCTACTCTCTAAGCATCTCAGGTATGCTTTGTTCCTTCTCCCTTATTTTAATTCTTCTTGTTTGATTTCTTAGGTGCGTTAGGGTTCGGATGTTTCACCTTTTCCTAAACCAAAATTCCATTTATTCAAGATACAATCTTCTGTGCTAAATTATATTAATTCAATGACATATGTCGGTTAGGTTTTCACAAGGTGAAATTTTAGGAATCGAAGATGGGTAGGTACAGTGATAACGAAGATGAATTTTTTGACGCCCGTGAGGTGTTTGCTTCAATGTCTGACTCAGGCTCCGATTGCTCCCCAGAAGACTGTATTGGCCCGTGATGAACATGAAGTTCAGCAGGTTATTATATCTGAATTAAATGATGGGGTATGATTATAATCATGAATCTGAGTGTGTTTGTTGCAAGCTTCGCATTTAATGATTAGTTAAAACCATGTTGAAATTTGACTATTTGAGCAACATTTGGAGTAAATCTTAGGTTTAAACTCCAGCGTATTGAGTGTAAATTAGGATAAATTGAGAGGCAAATTTGGGTTTCTATGTTTGATAGCTGATAACATATCTTACTTCAAAACTAGGTCCACTAATTCAATGTTTCAGGTTTTGTTTTCAACTTCTAGAAAAATGAATTTTAGACATTTTGTCTTGCATTGCTAACATGTTCCAAACTTCATAATATTAATTAGTGTTCATGATTGTTCGTAATAGTTTGCTGTTGATTATTGATAGTCTTTCTTCTCCATCTTCTTTCATAAACTGCGACTCTTAGGAATTAAACTTTTATTTGGTTTCATGTAGGTCTACAAGAGAGGAACAGTTGGAAGATCCAATTATATTGATGCATACACGGGAAGGTTTGGAGTTCCACATATGGCTTTCAACTCCATTAATTCAACCATAAACAATGGTGGTTTATTGAACAGTGGTGTTTGGGCTCCACCACAACCAATTCAGCAAATGCGGACGTATACAAGGGTCAGATTAGATATTAACTATTCTAGCGTTATCTGTATATTTGTATAGTCATAATTTGAATTAATTTTATGTTATTTTAACCCTAAATAAAATAAAATAAAAGAAAGCACTATATAACTAAGCTAAGAAAGGGAAAATGACATAAGAAACCTTGTCATTGAAAATAGCTTTAGAAAGTTTGTCAAGTCCAATTTTGTAGTGTTCATGTGTCTTTTAGCCTCGTATGTTTTAAGTCTTAGGAGTTAAACTATAATTTTGGTTCATGTAGGTCTACAAAAGAGGAGCTATTGGAAGATCAATTGATATTACTTCATATTTAGGGTATGATGAGCTTAAACAAGATCTTGCTCGAAGGTTTGGTATCGAGGGTCAACTGGATGGTCAACAGAGAATTGGGTGGAAACTTAGGTATGTGGATCATGAGAACGACATTCTCCTTGTTGGGAATGACCCTTGGGAGTAAGTCATATATATGCTATTAATTTACAAATGATGACAAATAGGGCCACTGTGTACCTGATTTATATCTCACAAACAAACACTGTGTTTGTTTATTTGATATATCTGTTTGATGGTATATTAATATTTATGACTTTGGTTTTCGTATATGCATTTCAAAGAGTTTGTAAGCTGCGTAAAATCCATCAAAATCTTATCTCCTCAAGAAGTTCAGGAAATGAGCTTGGATGGTGAATTTGGTGGGAATAATGTTGTTCCAAATCAAGCTTGCAATTCTCAACATGTTACTTCTACATAGTTTGTTGATTTCAAATCACTTCACCCATACAGGACCAGGTTACAGGGTCCTGATTTCAACAGATAAGTAACAACCCCTACCCTTTAAACAATATTAAAAAAAAAGGAAAACAGGAAAGGAGATTTTGTGGGTGTAGGTATGCTCAACATGTATTGCATATTTTATCTTGTTTTGACTGTGGCCTCCATATATGATATAACAGGACCAGGGTCCTGATTTCTGTGATGCAAAGGAAGGACAACATTTCAGAAGTATGGGTCCACATGATTCAACATGGTTGCCACCATATAGTGTTAAAAATTACCCTGATTCTTCATATTATGGTTCCAAAAGGCAACAAGTTATAACCTAGTTCTATTTATGACCTTTTTGCATTTCCACAGAATTAAGGATATGGTATCATCTTTCTGTTTTCACATTTTTTTATTGCAATTATAAGAGTATTTTGGTATTCTACTTTGTTTTTTTTTTCATCCAATAATGGGGTACTTTGGTCTTTTAATAAAAAAAGAATGGAATTGTTGAGTAGCTTTCAAGAATATGAATGGAATTGTGTCATTTTCAACCAAGCATGAAACTGAATAGAATCTCACATGAATTTGTGGTGTTTTTATAGCATAATATATTGGGCATGGAAGGTCAAAAAGGAGACGGAGAGCAACCAAGTAATGTTTTGGTAATATGAAAGGTGGATAAATCATAGCTACCTGTTTGATTCTTTTTTTGCTTTAAGATTCTACAACTTCTTGAGAGAACAAAACTAGTGTTTTTCAGCATCTAATCAAGGCTATCCCCCATTATTTATCTTTATATAATAAGAATATTTATTTATGTTGTTCAAGGTCCTTGATTCCAGGTTTCAATCTAGCAAATAGTAGGATATGCTATAATTATAAGAAACAACATTTTGTAGTTTATATAGGGTTAACTCTAAAAAATAGCAACACCCGTATTTATTTGTTTGTTATAGTTTCTTACCTCTTTCTCCCTATTATAGCTTTGTGCTTTTACTTTTCTGCTGTTTTTTAATTTTTTTTCACTTGCATAATTTGAAATTGGGGTGTAAACTCAAACAGTTAAACTTTATCTATGGATATGACAATGCAGTTATCTGAAGGAAGAGTGGAAATAGAGGAAACACGAGGCATCTGATGACATATGCCAAGATTTGATAATTTGAGATTTATTTCACTAGAGGTAAGATGTGAATTTAGCCCTTTTTGTAATTCATTTAGGTTTATCATGTATTTTTAATGTTAAATTCGGATTTTGATTATTATGTTTTATGCAGGTTGTCATTCGGTTATCTAGTTCTTTCCTTTAACTCATCTTCAAAAAATCAAGAACATGCAACAGATTCAGGTAATATATTGCTTTTTCTTCCATAGTATCCTTAAAATTTAAGATGTCTCTAGTTACATTCAGTTTGATTTAACTGTTGGTTAACTTTATTAAGTCTGGGCTGCTTGTTGAATATTCAACTGTCTCGCAGGAATCCGAGACAGCAACACTTGATGCAATATCAAAATCAAAGTTTGGAAATGTATGTGCTTAAGTCTTATTTGAACAATGTTTTTTTAGCAATCCAGGACATCCTTTTTTTGTTGGTCTTACTGTGGCAAAGCTTTTTGTTTTACAGTGGATGAAAACATTTGACACCAGTAGTGCACTAGATAAATTGCGAAAGGTCAGTCCCATTTGCCATCTTTTGTATCCTGCTTTTCCATTTAAATATTTAGTCATTAACACCTTTTTAGGTCTTAGGAAAAGGAAAGGAATTCTTAACAAAGTTCAATTATTTATGTCCTTTTTATGATAGATGGCATCTGCTTTATCATCACTTACCAAAAATTTAAAGTTTATGTCTTTTTAATATCTCACATGTTTTTTTCAGTCATTGCAACTTGAAAGGCTTGCAATGTATCATCATTCCAACCGACCTCCTTGGAAGGTGGATAAGAAATGGGAAGATCTCAGTCCTAAAGACTGGGTTGGGTGATTGAAGGTGATGTTGGTTCTTGACACGAGACTAGAGATATCATATTTTGGCATGGCTAGAAGCTTTGGAGGAAACAAGACTCAAGCAAAAGTAAACACACAGAGAGTTGTTGGCACATAGTAAGCTAGATGATGCAATTGTATATAAATGAGTTCATTTTTTTATAACATTTACTCACTATTGGAATAATTATTTGTATTTGACATATTAGTGAAATGAATTATCTTTGTCATTTATGGTAATTTATTTTGTATTATGAGATTCTTAATGTATTATTTAATTTGAAAATGTAAATCTATAAATGATATTTTTTTAAAACATTTAAAATTATGATACACAAAAATGTGTGTCATCTTCATTTATGACATGGCCTTTCTTGACAGGGGCTTTCTTGATACGCATTGCGTGTCATTAAGACGCGCGTCGTAAGGTTACGACACGCGAATGCATGTCGTCTTCCTTTATGACAGGGCCTTCCTTGATACGCATTGCGTGTCGTAAACGCGCGTTGTAATTGCGCGTCATAAATGAGCATCGTAAATGCGCGTCGTCTCTCTTTATGACAGGGCCTTCCTTGACACGCATTTGCGCGTTGGCTGAACCTTTTACGACGCGCAATGAGCGTCGTAAAAGGCTGTTTTTCTAGTAGTGTATTCTTGAGTTGAACACTTCCCTTCTCCAACATTCATCTACTGAAATCATATAAGGTGAGTTCATACTCCTACATTTTCATGTTTTCTTAAGTTTTTTTAGGGGGGGAATACAAGTTAAAACACCAAGAACATAACTAAACTTTTATAACAACTTTCATCAGAAAAGTTGGACTCCATTCACGGACTGTTTTGGATGACTTAAAATTTTATTTTTCAAAACTGTATTAGATGCAAATGGTTCAAGTTCTTAGCTTTAAAATGATTACTTGCACATCTCCATACGATTTTTCTACAATTTATTGTGATTTTTACAAAACTGCCTATCATTTCAAGAGCAAATCCGGACCAGTCTGTTATTATGGACTTTTTCACACAAGATGGAGGTCGTTAAAATTCATAATAAAAATTAGGAACAAACTAGACTCATTTTCCAAACTCTCAGAATTTACGGATTCTGATTTGGACCTTTGATGATTTTTTTTTATAAATTTTCTAAGAATAGTCAAAGAAAATGTTAACAACAGAAAAATGCAATAAATTTCATTTCACCTTGTAACATGTTGAGCAAGGTGTATATCATTATGTGAATATATGTTTTTGCAAATAGATGACATTTTATCTTAGAATATAGTCATACATCAGAAAACAAATGTAGTTTTACTTTCAAACGTATGGTAATTAATTAGTTGTTATATTGCATGTTGCTTCACTTTAGCAAAAGTATATACACATATTGGTAAACATGAGGGCTTTTACCTTCACAAACACAGTAGTTAACCATAATAAACAAAGTTATAACTATTACATTTAAACGTTTTGATAAACTATAATAAGTATGGTATATGTTTCCATTAACACAACAAACACATTTCGGAAGGTTTTATTCATACAGAAAAATGTTTTACACTCACGCACACTACAACGTAAACTTGTTAACTTAAATTGTGAGATATTCTTCTCAGTACTCCTAGAGTATAGGTTAAAATTCTTGGTAGTTGTAACCAGAGTCTCTTGTAGGGAGAACGTGATAGTTGTGTATAGATCTATATTGGTTTTGACACCCCACACCTTACTGCTAGCAACAATAGGACATGCAGGTCTACGGGTGACAAATTTTATTTCAGTTTCACGACGCCTGAGAAACGTCGTGGCAAGTTCATTCAGTCATAGTATGGTTATAGCGGCTCACATAGGGAGTTAACAACACATAAAATTTACGGGGATTTTTCATAAATCAAAAAGGGGTTTTATGACGATTTAAAATCACTTTTTATATCAATAATTACAGATATTATTGTATACTTTCAGCCCTGGTATTTATGACTACACACCATTCATTACGGGATTTTTCTCAAATCAGAAAGGGTTTTACGCGAATTTAAAACCACTTTTTTATCTTTAAGTATGACAAATACTTGTTCATTTTTGGTCCTGACATTTAGGACCACATAACTTTTATAAGGAAAATATTGGATTTTCTTGGTAACACACCACACATTACAAAGAACGGTTTCCAAACTCTTTATTTTAAAAAGCTTATGAACTCATCAACTTAATTGTTGACACTTTTTCAAAATTACTTGTATTCTCATGAAATCAACGAAACCAAGTAACCACAAGCTTTTGAGGATGGAACGCTACGACGTTGAACAATTATTTTTATATCATGTTGTGATCAATCCTTGAAATATGTAATACTTGAAACCATGTAATTCTTTTCTGATTATATTTATGATTGGTGGTATTTACTTTGAGCACTATTATACTCGTTGTTGTGATACTTTACATGAAGTCCTCTGCCCCCAGACAATTACACCATCCTTGGTTTGGGGGTGTGATAGATTGGTATCAGAGCATTGTTTATAGTGAACTAAGTATATCAAACCAAATAAGATATACAAACTATAAATGCATTGGGACTAAGGTCTCTGATTGAAAGTTTTCAAAACAACTATACTTTTAGAAATAAATAGTTTCTTGTTAAAAGTATACATGCATGCATACATACTAAGGTCAGCATTATTCTAGAACAAAACAAAAGTAATGATTGTTGA